TTATGCTAACTGTTATGTTTGTGCGAGTTCTGAGGACCGAACAATGCATTTGTTGATTGGAAATAATTACCAAGAACGTTTTTAGGTTTACAGCATTTTATTAATTTCTAGATAAACTGAGTTAATACTACTCTACAAAAGAATTAGTGAAATATGGAGAGACGTTTGCCACAGGTGTCCCTGTGTAGTCCGCCATCTTTTATATCTCTCCCCGTGTTTCCCCACGTGACGTCTGACGTCCCGATGTCCAAAGCAAGAGGGATAACTCTTACAATACTTTGGAGTTATCTCCCTTTATGTTTCCTTCCAACACTAACATTCGCTGAATGGCGTTGACATGACATTATGTCTGCCCTAACCGGGCAATGGATCAATTTTAGGGAGTTTGGCCAAATTTACACCGTTTATGCTAACAGTCACTGGGTGTCGGCCAGGTGACATCTGTCGTTCATGTCTTCCCTTACGGGTCAAGGGATCACTTTCAAGGATTTTGGCCACCTTTATGTCATTCATACCAACATTCTCTAAATTACGGTCAGATGACATCTGTCGTTCATGCCTTCCCTTACCGGGCAAAGGATTAATTTCAAGGAGTTTGGACACATTTACACCTTTCATGCTGAGAGTCACTGGACGACAGCCAGGTGACGTCTTTAGCTCATGTCTTCCCTTAACAGAAAAAGGGTTTAATTTCATGGAGATTAGCCACCTCAATGCCACTTATGCCAACATTCGCTAAATGACGGAAGATGACATCTGTCGTTCATATCTTCCCTTACCGGGCAAGGGGCCAATTTCAAGGAATTTGGCCACATTTAGATCGTTTATGCTAACAGTCGCTGGATGGCGGTCTAGTGACATGTATCAGTCATATCTTCTCTTACCGGTCAAGGGATCAATTTCAAGGAGTTTGGCCATCTTTATGCCATTTATGTTAACATTCGTTAATTGGCGGTCAATTAACATTTGTCGCACAGGGCGCTTCTTCCCAGGCGAGGACTTCATTCCAATAGATTTAACCCAGTTTATGTCGTTAGCTTTCATATTTTGTTTCTCACATGCCATGTTTTTTCTTTGAAATGACAGTCGTGGGGTGGTGGAGATTGCTGTTCATGTTGCATCCTCCATGCTGATTTATTGAGACACCACTTCTAGTTAGCTGGTCGTTAGTTTACATAAACGCACAATGTATGACACCACAATCTATTTGAACTGTAAGGAAAACTTGATATATTTGGAAAGAATTTTAGAATAATCCATAACTCAAACCGGGAGAAAATGAATTGAATACATACACAAAAATCGAAATGGGCGTAAGACATAATATGTGTCTTCTCTCATTTTTTATTCATACTCTACGGCTTGAATATACTATGGGAGCTGGAAACCCTACCAGGATTTTTTATCGGTTGACATTATCTTAACAACATAAGATACGCAAATGACTCTGTGGTGATGATTGACCCAGAAAGATAACTAGAAGTTATCCTAAACAGGGTAGTGAAGGAAAGCGAGAAAAAAAGGACTATCAATGGCAAGGAGACAGAAAGTACGGCCATTTGCAATAGAGAAAAAAGTTAAAGATGCGAGCAACGAATTGGAGATATCAAAATAAAAAATGTACAGAAGTTTAAAGATCTGGGATGTGTTCTAACAGAAGATGGAAAATACGACGTCGAAATCCGAGCGAGCATTTATACAAAAGCTTTTGGCAAGGTACGTCACGAAGATTTGCTAGGTAAGCTTGGGAAGGATATTAGAATGATCTAAAACTTATATTGGGAGTAAACCACTTATATGCGGATAGAAAATGAATTCTATATTACACAAAATTAGAAAGAGGCTTAAGACAATGATGTAGCTTCTCACCAGACTTATTCAACCTTTACTCCGAGCAATCCAGAGAGAATTAAAAGTCCTAATATGATTCATTATTGCCGGCCACAATCCTAACAACACGGATAAGCAATGTGGTTGGTCCTGATCTGGCATCTCGTCTTCAGTGGCTTTCTCACAGACGTGCCTTTTCTACAAATACTTTCACGGTAACCGCTCCGACTTTCGCTAGTTTCCAGACTGCATGAATTTAAGCGTGCTACATGGCATCATGGTCCCACCCTTTCATTGTCGAAAGGGTAAAATGTGGCCGTCTCTTCTACTTCAATAGCTTCATGTCTCGCACCTCCCGTCTGTGAAATTCCCTTCCGATTACTTGTTTTCCTGATAGCTATAATCTCCAACTATTCAAATGTAATGTCAATCGACATCTCCAGATGCCCTGAACTATCTCCTGCCTTTCTCTTCATCCTTTGCTTGGGGTGGGGTGAAATGCTTAATATATATATATATATATATATATATATATATATATGCAGATGACATAGTGTTGATAGCAGGCACAGAGAGAAAACTACAGGAGCTCTTAGTAAAGGAAGGCGAGAAGAAAAGACTAATTTTCAAAATCATCTAAAGATGCTAGCATCTCTTTTAAAATTCCATCTGGTCCTGCGGATTTGTTCTTATCCAATTTGTCCACTGCTGACTTCGCTTCAGACTTTAATATTTCTGGTCCTTCAAACTTTCTGTGTATAGCAAGTTGTCTTCTATCGTCGTGGAAAAGTTCAATAATGTATTAATTCCATCTTTGCAAGTATTTTTGTTTCTATTTGCGCCCTGGGTAAGACGATAAACTACATCCGATAGTAAGGCATTTGATCAGAAGGTTTTTGCGGAGCGTGGAATCACCTCTTAATTTTTGGTGTTCCCAGATCCATCCTGACCCGGGGTGATAGCACCTGTCAGGGTCCTAGCTATCGGCAAATAGTCCCCCCCCAACCAAAAAAGGAGTCGAATGACTATGAAAGTATAAAAATAGGTTTTAATATCAGGAATACATTTTTGGAAAAAAAATCACCAGCTATATATTTTTGAAAAAAAAAATTGCCAATAATGCATTTTTTTTTTAAAAAAAATGCCAACAATATTGTTTTGAAAAAAATATTACTAGCAATAAAAATCTTGTCGGCATTAAATAACCCATTGAGGTTGATATGCCGTAAAACAAAACAAAACAAACCAACCTCTCTCGCTATCTATCTATCTATCTATCTATCTATCTATTTGAAAAAAGAAATTACCAACAATAAAAACCTTGTCGGCGTTAAATAACCCATTGAGGTTGATATGCCGTAAAACAAAACAAAACAAAACAAAATCTCTCTATAGATATTTTTATTTATCTCTCTCTCCATCTATCTTTCTCTCTCCAATTATCTTTATTTCTCTCTCTCTCTCTCTCTCTCTCTCTCTCTCTCTCTCTCTCTATTTGAAAAAAAGAACATTACCATCAATAAAAATCTTGTCGGCATTAAATAAACCATTGATGTTGATATGCCGTAAACCAAACAAAACCAAATCTTTCTATTTCTATATTTGCCTGTCTTCAATTTTGTTCCTAATTTACTTTTGCAATTCCTTATATCCTGTACCGTATCTTTCATGGCACAGTGGATAAAGTCGTTAGTTAGATCCAGTGACAGGACCCAAAGAGTGTGAGTTCAATACCCGGTTAAGGCAGTGGAGAACTTTCAGAGGGAAATTAACAGGCGATAACTGACATCAATTAAAACATGGCACGTGGAACTAGAACAGTCTACCCTAGTGAGCGAAATAAAGGGTTTAGTTCGACATTCCAACCACCTGAAGGAGGCCGGAGCGTACATCGGCCGAAACGTTGTAATAAATATGGCGACAAAGATGAGGACAATAGTACGAATAATGTAAATAATGTACATAATACCTCATCTCAGAAATATAGACAGATTCTTTTTCTGTACTTTGATTAAAGCAGGGATCGCCAACCTTTAGCTGACGACGTGCCGACTTAGGCTTTTAAAATCATTCAGTGTGCCAACAGCATACATATTTTTATACAAGTCAAGGTCAATATATCTGTTCTACAATACATAGTAATATATACAATAATACGTAAACCACATGAACAGAAATAAACTGTTTTAAAAGTTTTTTTTTTTTAAGTTTTTATTATTAATGGGAGTCTAACGAGTGAACAGTTTTGAAACAGCTAAATATCTTCTTTGCGTTGTAGTAGTTATTGGTTCAGATTTCGTGATGTCATTTGTGGCTGCTTGCCATTGGAAATTTCAGGCAGGAGTGCCACTAGTCCGCAGGGGTTTACAAAGAGAGAGCAGAGCAAGAGTAAAGAGTGGTATTCGAGAAAAGGATATAGAAAAGGACGGGGATCAGGATCAAGGCATCAGAAGATGTCGATTGACATTACACGGGTGGCACCCATTGCCGTAGTTTGTCGATCGCAGTTTTAAAGAATTACTTGAATGAAAACTAGAATCGTTCCACCCTCACGGAATAGATAATTTACCTGAAAAGAGACAGAAGGTTATAAGAAGACAGGGAAAATAGAACGATTGCTGAATAATGATGCTATGAATTTATAAGAATCAAATATCGTGCCAAAAATGGTTGAAACTTTCGCATCATTTTAATAGATGAGAAGACTGAATGAAAGAAGGTAAGAGGGGAAGTAAGATAGCATGAATTAATCGATAAAAAGAGGGAAAATTAATCGATAAAAAGAGGGAAAATTAATCGATAAAAAGAGGGAAAATTCAGTAGTGTGAGAGAGAGAGAGAGAAAGAGGGATATGTAGTGGGAGGAAAAGATGAAAAGAGAAAGAATGATGAGATTATATGAAAAAAAAATCAGAGAGAGAGAGAGAGAAAGAGAGAGGGAAAGAGAGAGAGAGAGAGAGAAAGAGAAGCAATGGAGAGAAGGAGAGTGTAAGTACTTTTGGGACAAATATAGGAATCGGATGAGACGAAAAACGTCTTTCTCGATTGCGTATTTGTTTATTTACACACTCGCTCAGAAGATGCTGTTTATTTTGCATCAAGTCCCGTCGCAGCCATTTTAAAACAGCGAATCTCGTCCATCTTCCAACACCATCATCTCACTTTCTCCAGTAGTAACTCATTGAGCCAACCTCTTTACTTCCGGTCTCCTTCTTCCCGCCATTGCACACTTGCTATCGCCTTCTCTACTTACAACCCGTCGACGGAGCAAACTAGATTTTGTCTAACGTGACATTGACTCCTATAATATAAACAGCGTCACTTTCCACCTTTTGTTTATTATACGAAAGTGCTTCCTTGTAGAATTTGCTTTCGCTCCATGTTATTGACGTGTTTACGTTCCTCTTAGCTGTTGAATTTTGAAGTGATCTATCTATCTATCTATCTATCTATCTATCTATCTATCTATCTAAGTCTGTTCATATCTGTCTGTCTATCTATCTTTTTCGGTCTGTTCATATGTATCTATCTATTATATGCCGTACCTATGAACGCTAATGTGTATGTCCCAATCCTCATAAATACTTTAGACACTATTGTAAGTTGGGTAATATGCTGTCTAAGTAGTTCACCACTAGCAGTGGTTTACCTATTTTCCGCCGCTGGCGAGTATTGTATGTTGTTGATGTTATAAAGATTACCATTTCATTTACAACCTCCGTTTTGGTTATTCCTCATTCAGTAACCCTTTCTAGGTTACAACACTATCTATATGTATCTAACTATCGCAGTCTGTTTATATCTATCTATCTATCTATCTATCTATCTATCTATCTATCTTATTCTGTTCATATTTATCTATCGTATTCTGTTTTTATCTATCTATCTATCTATCTATCTATCTATCTATCTATCTTATTCTGTTCATATTTATCTATCGTATTCTGTTTTATCTATCTATCTATCTATCTATCTATCTATCTATCTATCTATCTATCTATCTATCTATTGAACTCTGTCGAGGCTGCACTATGAAAACTGGGCAACACCAGCCCATATATAGTATCAATACTTGTGAAGATAGGTCATGGTAGCAGAAAAAAAACTTCTGGCACGATACAATGAATCGACCATTCTTCAAAGCATCTTTTACGATGGCACGAATATACGCGAATCATTTGAGGTCGAGTGTGAACTTTTAGCCGCAGTAGGCATTCGAGGCAAGGAACTTCTTTGAGGTTAGGACCACTCCTCAGAATTAGTGCAGATTTAAAGTCTGCTCGGTCGTAATGAAATGTTACTTTTGGAGATATTGAATAATACCAGCCAATCTTTTCCCCATTGAGCTGAGGGAGTTAGATTAGAATTGCCATCAATAAATACTGAAATAAATTAGGATTTGCATTTTCACTGCATAATGTTTCAGGTGGGAATGCCACTAGAACGCAAGAGTTTACAGAGTGTGACAGCAAGTGTAAAGAGGGTTGTTTGAGGAAAGGATATAGAGAAGGACGGGGATCAGGATCAAGGTATCAGAAGATGTCGATTGACATTACATTTGAATATTTGAAGATCATAGCTATCAGAGAAGTAAGTAAGAGGAAGGGAGTTCCACTGTCGGGAAGTGCGAGACAATAAGCTGTTCGACTAGAAAAGGCGGTTACATTTAACTGTTTCGACAGTGAAAAGGTAGGACCAAGATGCCAATCTAGTAGCACGCTTAAAGTTATGCAGTTGGAGTACCAGTGAAAGTAGGTCGTCAGAGCAGTTGCCATGGAAACATTTGTAGAAAAGACTGAGGAAAGCCACATCACGTCTGTGAGAAATTGACTGTAGACGAGATGCCAGGTCAGGACTTATCACATTGCATATCCGTCTCTGGATTTTGTCCAGGACCTCGAGATGAACAGCGGGGGCACCAGATTATATATGACAACATTATTTGATGCAAGGACGAATGGTTGATTTGTAGATTTAAAGGAGGGACTGAGATGAGAAAAACCTTCTGGCGCGACTCAGAGAACCAACTTTGCTTGCGGTAGATGAAGCTATTGATTCAAAGTAGTTGTTCCACCTCAGGTCAGTGGAAAACGTGGGATCGGGAAGGCGCAGAGAGACGCTCTCGTGGAGTTGATCGTCGGCCATGCATAAATGAGAACAGTTTCGTTTTAGAGTTTACAATTAAGGGATTTAATAATATTGCCATTATTAAGCGGTGGGCATCAACGCGAATCAGTGAGTGATAATGATTTCCATCAAGTATGACCGCCATACACGTAACACATTATATCAAACAGTATCAAATGTCCACACAATTTCAATATTGGAATATCCCATCTATCTGTTGACTATTATTATATCTCGTTCGATTTACGATAATAATTTTGTCATAAAAAATCTAACCAGTATGTACTTTAACTTCACAGGCTTACACATATAATCTGGTGCTCCTGCTATATATTTAAAGATCTTTGACAAAATCCAAAGAAGAATTTGCAATGTCATTAGTCATGACCTGTGGCCTTCAGATACTTTCCCACAACTGTAATATAGCTTTCTTTTCCGTTTTCTGTAAATGTTTTCATTCTAATTGTTCTGATAAACTTTCCTCTATGGTACCTAGACTTTATGAATTTAAGCACAAGATCTCATCATTTTACAATTAAAATCGTTAGATGTAACCGTAGCTAACAGTTTAATTTCTCGCTCTCTCATCAAGTTTGATTTAAATGCAATATCAATCGCGTTATATACCGTACCTATGAACAGAAATCAACATAAATACGTTGGACACAATTGTAACTGGGGGGTAATATGCTTTCTATGTAGTCCACCACTAGCAGTGGTTTACCTATTGTATTTTGTTGATGTTATTTACCGTACCTATGAACAAGGCCGAATAAGGCTGAGCTCACTGACACCACATGGTTCTTGATAATGACCGAAACTGTCGCTTATACGAGAACAAAATCAACAAAATAAGTATGCATTTCGAACAGATTATTCAATATTTCGATCCCAATATGAAATATCTATCTATCTATCGAAAGCGCTCGGATATGTCGAACCTTGGACAGTTTTTACCTACTTTGTGTCCAGAAAAGAAAACAATTGTAGAATGCAAGAAAAATTAGATAAAAAATTTAATCGCAGTACCTTGTCAGTCCTCTTTAACGAAACATGTATAAATGACGGGTTGCTGTCCAAATACACAATTATATATATATATATATATATATATATATATATGTGTGTGTGTGTGAGTGTGTGTGTGTGTGTGTGATTGTGTGTGTAATTAGTTATACTGAATGTTAACTGACGCTCGTCTAGAAAAACAACTTCAAGTGGACTTAATGACTTCAGACTGTGCTTGAACGGGAAGACATCGCGTCCGACTTGCCTCTTACGGAGAAGCAACTAAAGGTCAAAATGGCATTCATTCGGGGTCAGTGGTGGGCTAACTCCTTATCCTAAACCGCAAAACATTTCGTCTTATTCACATGCTTTCATTTCAACCTTTTTTATTCCGTTTATTTTTCTTTTTTCCTTCTTTAATTCTTTCATTTTTATTCTTTCATTTCTTTTGCTCGTGTTTTTCATTTTACTTTTCATTTTTAATTTATTATTTTACGATTTTTCTCTTCAAAGTTTGTTTCTTTTTTCTTTTTCATTTTTTAATTCTTTCTTTTTCTTTATTCATTTTTTTATTCTTTTTCACTTTCATTTTTTCCTTTTTCATTTTTTCTTTTTCATTTCTTATTTCTTCTTTTTCGTTTTTCATTTTTTCTTTTTCATTTTTTCTTTTTCATTTTTCATTCTTTCTTTTTCAATTTTCCATTCTTTCATTTTCATTTTTTCTTTTTCATTTTCCTTCTTTCTTTTTCATTTTTTTCATTCTTTCTTTTTCTTTTATTCATTCTTTTTCATTTTTCATTCTTTCTTTTTTCATTTTTTCTATTTCATTTTTTCATTCTTTCTTTTCCTTCTTTACTGATTTCTTTAATGCCTATTTTTTCATTTATTTTGCATGTTTCTCTTTCACATTTTTCTTCCTTGTTTATTTCATATTTATATTTCTACTTTACCTGTTTTGTCTTCTTTGTCTCTGTGCTTCTTTCCCATTTTTTTTCTTTCTCTTTTCTTCTTCCCTTTACTTCCATGGTTATCTCTTTTTCTTTTTTCTCAAAACCGTAATCTTTCTTTCTTTCTTTTCCATTTTCCTCACGGCCATACTCTAACAGCAGAGATAACCCACTTTGTGTCGAGTGACCCACCTCTAACCTTGCTGTAATCACAGGTGCATTATTATAAAACCCACTTAAAATGATGGAGATGAAATTCCGAGGTGGATACTTAGGCCCGTATGGCCACCCCCACATCTTCACTCGACCACCTTGCCGCCCGTGGCTCAGTATTTTCTCTGAGATTCTCACATATTAATGAGGCTACCAGACCATTTTTTTTTATCGACTAAGTCTAAGATGGGCCTGCGGTTAGAACTTTCATTTTCCTACGATGAGGCTCGGGTTCGAATCTTCATATCCTCGATTTTGTCAGGAAGGTGAATTTTCGATGTTATCAATCTGCCGAGAGTGATCCCAGTTTGCGGCACAGTTAAAAAATTTATGAAAAACATGCCACGGATTGAAACAAGACTGCTGAATGAACTTAAGTAGACAGAACAGTTCGGTGTAAGTCCATGGTTGTATTGTGACGAAGTCACTAATCATCGTGGCTGAGGGTGTGAGCGTGCTGGCTTTGTTCAAACTGTTGATCACACCAGATTATGTGGTTTCTCCCTGAAACTGTACCTAAAATCCGATAGGCATACTGCAATAGATAAACAATAGGTGGGCTCCAAACAATAGGTGGGCTTTGAACAATAGGTGGGATCCAAAAATAGGTGGGCTCTAAACAATACGTGGAACAATATGTGTCCTCCGAACAAAAGATGGGCTCGGAACAAAGGTGGACTCTAAGCAATAGATGCGATTTAAACGATAGATGGGCTCTGAAGAATAGGTTGGCTCCGAACAATAAGTGGGCTTTGACCAATAGGTGGGCTCTAAACAATAGGTGGGCTCGGAACAATAGGTGGGCACGGAACGATAGGTGGGCTCTAAACAATAGATGGGCTCTAAACAGTAGAAAGGCTCGGAACAATAGATGGGCTCTAAACAAAAGATGGGCTCGGAACAATAGATGGGCTCGGAACAATAGATGGGCTTGGAATAGAAGATGGGCTCTAAACAAAAGATGGGCTCGGAACAATAGATAGGCTCGGAACAATAGATGGTTTCGGAATAATAGGTGGGCTCGGAACGATAGGTGGCCTCTAAACAATAGATGGGCTCTGAACAATAGATGGGCTCGGAATAATAGGTGGGCTCGGAATAATAGATGGGCTCGGAATAATAAGTCGGTTCGGAACGATAGGTGGTCTATAAACAATTGATGGGCTCTAAACAATAGATGGGCTCGGAACAATAGATGGGCTCTAAACAAAAGATAGACTCGGAATAATAGATGGGCTCGAAATAATAGATGGGCTCGAAATAATAGGTGGTCTCTAAACAATAGATGGGCTCTAAACAATAGATGGTCTCGGAATAATAGGTGATCTCTAAAGAATAGATGGGCTCTAAACAATAGATGGGCTCTGAACAATAGGTTAGCTCCGAACAATAAGTGGGTTTTGACCAATAGGTGGTCTCTAAACAATAGGTGGACTCGGAACAATAGGTGGGCTTAAGCAGTCGATATTTTATAACTTCTTTTCGCTTTCTCTTCACCACCTCGTTCCAAAGGTCGGCGTTCAATCTCTAGCACAAAACCAGGATTTAGAATGGTGATTTTAATGACAGGTAGGCTCTTCCCACTTGTAAGATTAACATAATGTCCCTTGCCTCAATTCTTGTCATATTTGACATTGTGTCCTTTTAAGATTGTTACATATTGAGAAGTCTCGGAGATAAAAGCTGCTCCATACTTAAAACAGGTGATATGACCATA